TCATTGGAAACAAATATATTTTATATATACAAATTAAAATAATATATAATAAAATAATATTTTAAATATACAAATTAAAATAATATATAATAAAATAATATTTCATACACACAAATTACACACAATTATAGAAAAAAAATCAATATAATTTGATTTCACGTGTGTGATATGTTTAGTATTAAAAAAATTAAGAAAACATTAAAATCTTCCATACATTAACACGTACCTTGACAACCGTGTATCACCAAATGATACATTTAATATATTTATTTAATACGCGTCAGAAAAAAAAGATAAGTTAGAAGACACATATTAATAATAAAATAATTAATTTGAAATGTTTACAATGTACATACTTAAAATGAAGAAAAATAAATTCCTACCTCAGAATTACTTGTAGGAACACTTGAAAGTCCTGGAGACATAGCACCAGTTGTTGGATCTGGACTAGCTGATATCGGATTACCATGAGACAAAAGTCCTGGTACACGTGGATAAGAAGCTAAATGGGGATGCTGTGGTTTTTGATGATGAACCGTTGGTCCTGGTGGTGCACTGTGTACAACCATTGGTACAACCGGTGCTGGTGGAACCGGTGCTGATGCTGCTGTTACTGGTACCACACCAACATCAATTGGTGTTCCACCAATACTACTATCGTTACCAACACTACCCAAAACTGCATTTACTCCTGTACCACAATCCACTCCGCGAAACGATTCTTGAAGGTATTGTCTTACTTGATTTTTTTGCTTTTGTACCACGTGATACCTCGTTGGATTCTCCAATAACGTTCTCACCTGAAAATTCATTTAATATATTTTCAATATTTCATTACAATGTTTATTAGAATTATATTATTTAATCGATGTATTTATTTATCTATGTTTATTGTATTTTTTGTTTGACAATATTAATATTAATTAGGATATTGTAAATTAAAAGTTTTCACACACACAAGGAATTGAATATAATTGAATACTATTAATAAGAATACTCTATACAATATTCAACATTTCATTTTGATTCAATTGAAAACTAATTAAATTTATAATTCATCGAATGTGTGTGTGTTTTTTTTTTATACGACTACTTTTTTGTTTCTTTATGTTACTTCGTATTAATTTTGTACAAATTTTGTTTTTAACGATACTATTTTGATAAATATTAAATTTTCTTCTGATATATAATAATACAATATATTCGTACGTTACATATATATAAATTTCGAATAGAATTTTTATTGTAAAATTGGGTTTTTTGAAAAAAAAAAAAAAAGAAAAGAATAGAAAAGTGACGTTTCACAAAAGGAATACGAAGTTTCAGATTATCAGAAAAAAGATACTGATATGGAATATATTATAACCACTTCACGCATAATATTCAGAAGGTAAAAGCAACGAATGGTAGTAGCATAAAAGTCAGAAAGAAATAAAACGGGATGCTAGGTTTTAAAATGGAAAAATAAAAGAATAGAAAAGAAAAGAAAAGAAATGTAATAGTTGAAAAAGAAAAAGAACAAAATCAATATGATTATTACAGAAGGAGTATGATAACCTCGAAAATCGATGATATTTATTCATTCGTATTTTATACCGTGTGTGTGTTTATGTGTGTGTGTGCTTAAAAAACAATCATGCAATATCAGCTTTAATATATCTTTACATTTTGCTTATGCACCTTTATCTAACGAGATGATACAAATATCGGATATCGTGACAAGTTATCTTAAGAAACAAAATAAAATAATATCAAATAAATATGGAAAGAGTGTGTGTAGAAAAGAAGACAAAATAATTCATTAAAAAAGAAAATAAAATAACATAATCTTTTAGACAAGTTCCATATTTTCATCAAATTTATCATACGTATCTTTAACTTCTTTTAGAAGATTTTTATCTTTTATATGTTATATCTCTCTTTTTGTTAGATAGAAATAAAATATATATTAATGATTTTTAAATATAATTTACTATACTTATCAATATTCTTGTCCAAAACTTTGTTATTAATATATAAATCTCAAAAGGAATTATAGACGGTTAATAAATCTAATGAACAATTTATTTTCAACTAGTTGTACGTTTCGTCCCTTACTGGGGACTTCATCAGCAACTTGATCATTTAAAGTTCACGTGTCAATACATATTATTTTTTTTACAGAGTCATACATTTCAACAAAACTTAACATATTACAATACAATTTGATCCTAAACACCTTATCTTATCACACGTAATCAAATA